TCTGTGTTAACTCACCCCACATTGTTCTTTGGTCAGTGCACAAGAACCTGCCCCTTACTGCTGCCTTAGTTGCCATGTTTAAAGAAGCTAAGAGCTAAGACCTTGGTGCTTGCATGGAGACACCATTGGCACAGAAACCAATGAGTCAAAAGACTCTATTAGAAATCTGGAATCTTCCCTAAAAATTCTGATGGATCTCAAACTCAAGTGAAGTGCAAAAATTGTCCACAATTGTGAACTTAAAATACACATACACATACACAGAAAAATGTTCATTGAATTCATAATCACTACTTTTAAATCATAAGATGACTGTGCCAGAGTATACTAATGTCAGACATTTTGGTTCAAGCCAGAGTATACTAATGTCAGACATTATTGGTTCAAGCTCCAAGTTAAACCAATATTTAGTCTGGCTGATTGATTTAACAAATATTTGTTGAGCTACTTTTTTTGGTTCACTTTGATGGCACCAGGGAAGTAAAACAGATTAACAAGTAGTGGTGTGTAATTTAAGGACCTTACAGTCCAATATCTTTCCCTGGTAAATATTTCGTGCTGGAATATATGTTACTTGAAGACAGGGATAAGTCTGTTTTGTTCACTGTTGTGCCTCTAACACATACCACAGACTTTATATGCAGTCACTAAATAAAATACAGTAGAAGCCCTACAAATTGACCACTTAAGGGATTGTTACAAACTGGTCAACATGTATAGGTGGTCAACATAAAGACCTAGGCCTACTGTACTGATATGTATATGTTGTGCATGTCTTGTCTACGACAATTAGGTCAACTTAAGGAGGGGTCAATGTCAGTTTAAGGAGCTCAACTGTGGAGGTGCTACTGTAATTGTCGAATGAGTATGAAGGAGAAATACAATTTGAGAGTAAAGAACAGAGTCCACTAACATAGAAGAGTCTGGACACACTGGATTGGAAAGGTTTTGAACTTAAATGACTATAGGTTGTTTATGGAGGCAGTGTATCACAGTAACAATTTTTGTGCCATTTTTTGCTTTGAGTGTTGGAAGTAATGAATTTCTCCTGCTAAAGCCCAACACCACAGAGAAGAGGGGGCATTGAGACAGTGAGGATCATGTGAACAAAAGGAGTGCAGGGGTCTTCACCTGTGATCTGTGAACTCTGCAAGTCCATGAGAAGCTTTTTGAGGCCCACAGATCATGCCTCACTTCTCTGAGACAAAAGAGAAGTGCCCCTTTTCTTATATTATGGGGCAAAACCTTTTGTCTCAGTTCAGCTGGGTCTTGGTTGTTCACCCTGAGAATGGGACTAATAATACTAAAGAAATGCTGCTTCTTGGTAAGCTATTTCTAGAAACCACAGGGCCATGGATACCTTTGATCTGGAGAGCAGTTCCATGCCAGACACAACCTGCATCTGATGGGAGTCTCGGTGCTCTCTGCACAGATGGAGGCCTGTGAAACTGGTGCCACTGCAGCCTGTGCTGCCTTGCCACTGAATGCACCACATGCCAGCCTTCCTGCACTGGCCTACGTCAGAGTTGGCAGCACTTCCAACAGTCCCAAAGAGGCCTTTCTGCTGCTGTGAAAGTCCTTAACTTCCTCCAGCCAAGAGCTTGAATCACTGCCTTTTTAAGAGATCTTTGTCAAGATGCAAGAGCAAGCCATGAGATTCTTTCCTTTTAGAGACGTTTTCTTGATAGTCCAGAGAGGAGGCTTAGAGATGATTTAGTCTGGTTAATTCTTTACAATATTTTAAGAGAAAAGAAAACTTCTTCTTAAAATAATTTGATAGTGAGAACTTCCAAGACCAGCTTGGTAAAGGCTGATATCTTGGTCATGTGAATGAAGCGATTCTTTTGATTGATATTCACTAGAGGTGCTGCCAAGATACTGTGTGGTTTCTTTTTGGCCAAGCAGCACTGTTCACAGAGGTGGTTGGAGTCAAATACTGTTCTGGATTTTCAGATACTAGTGGGGAATCTGCAACGTCTGGAGAATTTCTTGGGACAAAAATTTACAGGCACTCTCTTCTGCCTGTCACTTTTTTTTTCCCCAAATAGCCTCAAAATTATAACAGATTGCTGACATAGATAGCCTTGATGGTATAAGACCTAAGGGAGATGACCTCAAAGACTAGAGGACAAAGGAAATGATGTAGTATAAATTCACATCGAAAGTTTTGGTATTTCTAGATGCACATTGAGATATTGTGAGCTACAGGAGCTCTAACTACATTTACTATTACAGACTTTGTGAATCCGGGTTTTCTCTCTCATTGCCATTGAAATGAAACTTTGTATTTGATGCAATGTCAAATATTTGAATTTATTATTCAAGAAAAACTACAACAACCTTCTCACAAGAGTGAGAAAACCAAATTCTACATGAATGTTGCTTTGGGATTCTGACCATGTACGTGTATAAGAGATTAATTTCCAATACAATGAGAGAAATAGTAAGCACATTTTTGTGTTTATGTGTATTGTTTTTGGTGAATGCTTGTATATTGAATTAAATTTCCTGAGGGAGGGCGGTGCCTGTGGCTAAAAGAAGTAGGGTGCCGGCCCCATATGCTGGAGGTGGTGGATTCAAAACCCAGCCCAGGCCAAAGACTGTAAAAAAAAAAAAAAAAATTCCTGAGGGATCTGTAACTGAAAAAAGAAGGAAAGGAGGGAGGAAGGAAAGAAGGAAGGAAGGAAGGAAGGAAGGAAGGGATGGACGATTAAGGCAAGGAAGGAAATGATCAGACAACTTGCCCTGTTTAGTACGGGTCCTCTGCACTTGTTTTAAGGAAGTTCTGCAAAAAATTAGCTGTTACTACCTTTTCTCAGCCTACTTGGCTGATTAGTAGACCAGGGTTGGGCTGTTACTCACATTATAGGAAGTGAAGCCCCCTTCAAGAAAACCTGTGTGGCTTAGCACATGGGTGGAAGTCCATGTGGGAGAAGAGGACATGGGAGTGAAGGAAGAAGGAGGCTTGTTTGTTTGCTCCTTGCCTTATTAAAGCCAGCCCTGGGCTAAGACACAGGTGATTTGGGAGATGGAGTATAGTTTACTATTACATGAAGATCTTGTTATAACTTTACCTTAGGACCGATAAGCAAATACCATAGGGTAGCTGCTTCAAGAAGAGGTAATTCTCAGCCTGACTTGGTATTTTCTATTTTGCTAATTAGTTCAGAATGTGATGATGTCTTAGAGGTGTTCTCATAGAGAATGGCTGATAACAGAAGAGTGGGCATCAGGTGGCAGAGGCATTGGGTACACGAACAGTCCTGACAAATTATTTTCAGCCCTCACTAGCTCTGAAGAGGTGATTCTATTGCAGAATAACATGTGCAAACACTTATTCAGAGTGATATATCCCAGTGTGGGCTATCATGTAATGTAGAGCTTTATGCCTTTTTATCCCTTGTTAGGTTGTTGATATGAAAAATGTTTTAAATACAATTGAAAGGTATTCTCAAGTTCACCAAACCAGAAATCTGGGTTTTTGCATCTATGAGTTAAGTCGACAATCTCTGAACCTAGTTGTAGACTGGTTCTTAAAGTTTTTACATTCTAAGATTTTCCATTTTTTGTTTAAGACCTCCAAAAACAATAACCAACTGGAATAATAAGCATTTTATGTGCTAAAAAGGGACGATACACTGTATAGTAACGTTTTACAAAGGTGGTGAAAATAGAGCCTGTCTATTCAACCTTAATGAATGTTTACAAATGTGCATACAGATACAACCTTTGGTCCTGTGATATTCTGGTACATTCTTAAAGTTATTAGTTTAATTGTTAAGGTGGATTAAGTAGTGGGGCATCCATGGATTTAAAGATGGGATGGACTAAGCAATTCCCAGACAGATTCAAAACCTTCCTTCTGTTCTGAAATACATTTGAATCAAGACCAGGGAGAAGCTGGTTTGCAGAAGGAAGTTCACGGCTGGTGAGAGCACAGTGTGATGTGCTGATGTTGGGGCTGGATAGAGGGCTTTAGTTAATGGAATTTTTCTGCAGTATGCAATTTCTAATTCTGTTGCTTCTTTTTTACTTTGAATTTGTGACATCATTTTTGTGTGTGCATAAAATTTTGGATGAGATTTTTAGTGCTAAACCAAGTTCAAGAATAGACCAGGGAGGGGAGGGGAGGGGGGAGGATGGTTGGAGGGAGGGTGATTGGTGGGATCACATCTATGGTTTATCTTATGGGGGTACATGTGAGTCTTTCTACATGTAGAACATAAATGTCTTAACACAATAACTAATAAAATGACATGAAGGCTTTGTTAACCAGTTGGATGAAAGTATTTCAAACAGTATATAGAAACAGCACACTGTACCCCATGATAGTATTAATGTACACAGCTATGATTTAACTAAAAAAAATAGACTTGCTTAAACATTTTATGCCAGTCATCCTTACTTTCTACTTAGAGATCCTTCAGAGACTAACTTGCCCTTGGTCTGATAACTAGCTGGTGTTAGAACTTATGTTAAATCAGACCTGACTTCTAGACAAGAACTCTTTCTCACTATACCAAGTTACTTCCAATTAAAGGAGAAGAAGAGCAGTGCCTGTGGCTCAGAGAGTAGGCACTGGCCCGATATACCAAGGGTGGCAGGTTCAAACCTGGCCCCGGCCAAACTACAACAAAAAAATAGCTGGGTGTTGTGGTAGGTGCCTGTAGTCCAAGCTACTTGGGAGGCTGAGGCAAGAGAATCGCTTAATCCCAAGATCTGGAGGTTGCTGTGAGCTGTGATGTCACAGCACTCTACTGAGGATGACAAAGCGAGATTCTGTCTCTTAAAAAAAAAAGGAGAAAAAGAAAATATAAATAGAGTTATGATTTTCTTATCCTTTATTAATGCAGAATAGTAAAAAAAGTGTTCTATTCAATTTCATACTGCAAACACACAAGTATTGGTAAGTGGAGATTATTTTCTTAGATTGAGTTGAATAAGGTATGGATAATAATGTTCTTTGAAAGGTAAAGGAAACAGAAAAAATTATTTTTTCACATCAAATGGGTAAGTGCTGATGTTGTAACAAGGTTTGAAGGAGGTACATCTCACACTTGGGTGTGAAAACCCAATCATCTTGCTTATGAGCCACACAAAAATTAAAAAAAAAATATTTATTTACAAAAACTTCAAGCTCTTGAAGATGGCAGATGAGAAGGATCATTCAGCTGAACTCTCTTAGAGTGACTGGGGAAAAAGAGCAAATCCTGGCATGGGGACCTTACCCAGAGTCATAGCTCAGGGAGCACAGCAAGGAGGTGGTGAGCTGGATATAGTGTATGATCCAGACGAGTGGAAATCTGATGAAGTAGGCAAGTGATTGCAACCAGCTGGGATAGCCTAGCTCTCCCCATGGAGGTCCAGGATGGGAGGAAGCCCTTCTAGAGCTTTCAGTTGTTGAGGGAAGCTGCACATTATGTCAAAAGCTTGGAAGTGTGGGCAGACTCAAATGGTATACAGCAACAAGATTTGAATGTCCATTGAAGTGGACTTGCCGTAAGATTGGTGGCTGGTGAGACAGCCAGACTGACAGACTGAGAAGGTCTTGATGGTCAGGGAGCTGCCATTTTGGGAAAGTTCATGAGAAGGTCTTAGCAGGGCCTTAAAGCATGGCCGTTTTAATGCCTCCTGCTGACATCAGAATTCCACTCTTGGGACAGGCTGAGGGATTCCTGCACCCCATGGGAACTGGAGTCAGTGGGCACTGTGAGACCTGCCACTGAAGGATTCTTGTGAGCTTTAAGATTCCAACCCAATAGGGTCTGAATGCTGAGGAAACAATCAGGTGATCACTGAAGGCAACTAAGTTTGGAATAAAGACCATAGAGGTTGCTGGCTATGCAGCAACCTCTGTCTCCTAAAAAAACCACAGCACCATCTGATGTCTTGGTGACATATTGCAACATACTGTCATCAAGAACAAGGACTTCTGTTTGAAACAAAGGAGGCAGTGAGAAGGGAAAAGGAGGATAAGAAGTGAACAAGAAGAAAGAACACATGATGACAAACCAACAGAAAAATTCAGGCAAACGAAAACAAAAGAACTCCTTCAAGGGACCATGAGGCAGCTACTGCAGAAGACTCCACTTATAAAGAATGAATGGACTTGACATAAAGGGAATTTAAAATATGGATGATAAAGACAGTAGAAGGAATGGATGAGAAAATGGAAAGACAGAACCAAAGTTGGATGAAAGATAAGTAGAATATAGAAAGGATATGGTGCAGCTTAAGGAAATGAAGGACACAATCAAGGAATTTAAAGATGAAGTAGAAAGCATTGAAATAGATTAGATCATGGAGAAGGCAGCAGATCAAAGCTAGAGGATAGTTTTCCAATTAACCTTGGTAGTTAAAGAGGCAGAAAAGAAGAGAGAGAAAGCAGAACAGGTGCTTAGAGAACTACGAGACTCCAAGAAGTGTTCAAACATATGAATAATAGAGATTCATGAAGGGAAAGTAGATTGTACCAAAGGAATGAAAACTCTACTTGAGACTATCATAAATGAAAACTTCCCAAGTTTTACTAAAGACCCCAACATGCCCCGTTCAGATGAATATCAAACCCTAACTTATCTTAACTCAAACAGAGTCTATCCAAGGCACACTGTAATGACTGTAACGAACCTATCTGAAGTCAAGATGATTGAAAAGACATTCTGCAAGTAGACAAGAGTAAGCACCAATTGACCTTCAGAAGCAGAGCCATTAGGATGACAGCAGACTTTTCAACTGAAACTTTCCAAGCCAGAAGAACATGGTCATCAACTTTCAACATTCTTAAACAAAACAATTTTCAGCCCAGAATTCTGTATCCTACTAAACTAAGCTTCAACATCAATGGAGAAGTCAAATCTTTTTCTGATATGCAAAAATTGATGAAGTTTGTCACAACAAGACAAGCTGTACAGGAAATACATAGACATATTCTCAACACTGAACACCACAATGGACCACCAGCAAAGTAAACACTGAGAAGCTAAAGGTCAAAACTTAGCTTCCACAATGGTGCAAAGGATAAAACTACACAATGGACTTTCACAAAATAAGATGAATAGAATACCACCACACTTATCAATTCTCTCAATAAATGTCAATGGACTGAATTCACCATTGATAGGCACATACTGGCTGATTAAATAAAAAAAGTACAAGCCATCCATATGCTGTCTCCAGGAGACACACTTAGCCTTGAAGGACAAATAAAGACTCAGGGTTAAGGGATGGAAAACATTATTTAAAGCAAATAGAAATCAGAAGAAAGGGGGGAGGTTTGCAATCTTATTTTCAGATATGAGCAGATTTAAAGCAACTAAAATTAAGAAAAATAAAGATGGACACTTTGTACTGGTCAAAGGAACAATAGAACAAGAGGACATTTCAAATTTAAATATTGATGTACCCATCTTAAATGCTTCTGGATTTATGAAACAGACCTTGATGGGTCTAAGCAATATGATATCCCATAACACCATAATAGTTGGGGACTTTAACATAGCTCTGACAGAACTGGAAAGATACTCTAAATAGAAACTAAATAGGCTCGGCGACTGTGGCTCAAGTGGCTAAGGCGCCAGCCACATACACCTAAGGTGGTGGGTTTGAATCCAGCCTGGGCCCGTCAAACAACAATGATGGCTGCAACCAAAAAATAGCCAGGCATTGTGGCAGGTGCCTGTGGTCTCAGCTACTTGGGAGGCTGAGGCAGGAGACTCGCTTGAGCCCAGTTGTTGGAGGTTGCTGTCAGCTGTGATGCCATGGCACTCTACCCAGGGGGACAGCTTGAGGCTCTTGTCTCAAAAAAAAAAAAAGAAAGAAACTAAACAAAGATACAAAAGACTTTATGTGACCCTAGAACAAATGAGATTAATAGACATATACAGAACATATCATCTCAAAGCTAAGGAATATACATTTTTTTTTGTCAGCCCATGGTACATACTCCAAAATTGACCACATCCTAGGGTACAAATCAAACCTTAGCAAAATTAAAAGAATAGAAATTATTTTTAGAATTACTACAAGGCCATAACAGTGAAGCTCAACTCCAACAAAATGTTCATCCCCACACAAAGACTCAGAAATTAAACAACATTATGCTGAATGAAAGTTGGATTTAGTAAAAGGTGAAAGATTTATGCGATCTGAAGAGAAATCAGAGTTGATAGTTGGATTTCGGAAAAGATAAAAGAGGAAATCAACCATAACAAAAATGAAGACACAAGTTACCAAAACCCATGGAATGCCAAAAAAAAAAAAAAAAAAAAAAAAAAACAAAAAAAAAAAAAAAACAGAAAGAGAGCACATCAATAAATAAACTCATAAACCATTTTTATGGAATTGGAAGAAGAACAATCTAATCCCAAACCCAGCAGAAAAAAAGATTAAATCAGAGGTCAAAATTAAATCAGAGATAAATGAAATTAAAAACTAAAGAATCATTCAGAAAAGTAATGAAACAAAAAATTGTTTTTTTGAAAAATTAATAAAATCAATCAACCTTTGGCCAGATTAAAAAGAAACAGAAAAGCAAAATCTCTAGTAACTTCAACCAGAAACAATAAAGGGGAAATAAAAACAGATACCACACAGATACAAGAGATCATCTCTGAGTACTACAAGAAACTCTATGCCCAGAATTTGACAATGTGGAGGAAATGGATCAATACCTGTAATCACACCCTCTCCCTAGACTTAATCAAGAAGAAATAGATCTCTTGAACAGACCAATTTCAAGAACTGAGATGAAAGAAACAATAAAAAACTCCCAACAACAACAACAACAACAACAACAACAAGGCCTGATCCAGATGACTTCACACCTGAATTCTATCAAACCTTCAAGGAAGAGATTATATCCAGACTGCAGAAATTATTCCAAAAAATTGAGAAGGACAAGAGAGCGATTATACCCAGACTGCAGAAATTATTGAGAAGAAAGGACAGATTCTCAAAA